AGCCAGTTTCTCATCATTAAATATGATGTTAACTCTAGGTTTTTTGAAGATGTTTTTTATCAAGTTGAAGTTCTCCTCCATTCATAATTTGATGACAATTTTTATCATAAATGGGTCTTTGATTTTGTCAAATGCTTTTTCTGCATCAATTGACATGATCACATAATTTCTCTCTTTTAGCCACCTATGATGGTTCTTTGTTTTAAAAACATAGTACCACTTATCCTTCCATATAGAGTACAGTGTGAATATTATCTCCTTTGTTTCTGCTAACATAAGTAGAATAGGTATTAATTTTCCAATTTTCCAATTTTTCCAAAAAAAACCCTAGACTTCTCTGCTCTTATGAATTATTCATTATTCAGGTATCTTCAATTCTCTACTTACGCAGTCACGCTTTTTTTCCCTCAACATATGATGTTGTATTTATTATTAAATTTCATTGTAAGTTCACTCAACAAATATTTATTGACAGCCTTCTTTGTATCTTTCTATTATAGGTGTGGGGACTGAGCATTGGGCAAAACAGGAAATGTCCTCGGTCCTTGGTCTCATGGAGCTTGCATCCTGGTGTAGGTGACATAATATAAAAAATCACTTAACTATATACAACAGATCCTATGAAGTACTATGGAAAAATAGAGCAAGGTCTGGGAATATGTAAGAATACTGGAGGCTGAGATGTTAGTTCCACAATGAGGTCAAGACGGGCATCCCATATGCAATGTGATTCTTGAAGAATAAGAAGTCAGTTTTTTGAGATTTTCCTTTGAATCCTGACATCCAACATGTGTTATCATTCACAACTTCACATTATACACAACAATCAACAAGACAAGGCCAAGGACAGAGTTTTGTGGCTGTATTAACTTTGAACTTTGAACTAAGTCGACTCGGCTAACTGGGAACTACTTTTCCCAGAATTCCTTTCCCTCTTGGTTCTGAGCTAAGACTGGCCACAGGAGAACTTCGGTACAATTGGAAGGCAAAAGAGAAGAAGCTGTCATATTTAAGCTTGGTAGGTTGGTGTTAAGCTAGGTATTCTTGCAGCTCCTACAGATTGTTGTGAATCTACTGGCCGACCTTGTTCTAGCAGCTGCCAGGCCCACAGCTCTTACAGCTTCTCCAACTCCTGAGCCAGCTGCATGTTTGGGCCTCAGCTTCTGGTGCTACATGCCTGCATCATCAGAATTGGAAACTTGGAGACTAAAGGAGGATCCAAACCAGCCTCTTCACACATTCCTGTATGTCCTTGCTATCCTCAATTTCCCATCCACCTTTGTTTCCTGACTTCAGGTCCAGCAAAAGCATCAACCTTACATAAACACTTTAAGCAGTTCTCACAACTGTATGAGGTCAAATACCTATAATCAATGCTTTATTTCTTGTCTTTTCCAGGAGTTCCACTTCTATAATTGAACCTTAATGGATACAGGGACCCACTATCAACTCCTTGCCTGCAACTATTTGAGAATCAACTTACAGGAGATAATAATTCAACCACCTGAATTCATTTGTCTGTGCTATTATCTGTACCACATTTCTGCATATGATCTATAATGATATAGCATAAAGAGATTTATAAAGACTTATCTAAAATAAAAACTATCATACCTATAGCTTTCCCTGGGCCTCCCCTCTTAGAAACATATTATAAAAAAAAAAATGAACTTAATTTATCATGATTCCTGCTGATCACCAATTCTATTTCTAAGAGCTGGCAAGTTACCTGTTTAATAATTCCTTCCAGAATTTTGTAGGAAATTGCTGTCAGACTCACTATCCAGTAATTTTCAGAATTCACCTTTTCATTCTTTGAAAAAAATGGCACCTCTCTGGTTCCCTGTGATTCTTCAGAGATTCCTGGCAGTGTTTCTCTAATCACAGCTATAAATTTTTCCTATACCCCAAGGATATAATTTGTCTGACCCTGCAGACTTGAATTAATTTAAAGCAGTTTGACATGCTCTTACTATTTCTTGTCAAGATTGTTACCAGCTGTAGGCTAAGGTCTATTACCTACTCATTTTAGCCAAGAGAAAACAAGTTGGGTGCAACCTATATAGAGGAAGCTGGACTGCTTAGCATGTGGTATATTGTGGTGCTTCTCAAATCTTAATGTGCATATAAATTACTTAGGATCTTGCTGAAATTCAGGGTTTTCTTTAACAGGTGTGGATAGGGCCTAAAATCCTGCATTTTAACAACTTCCCAGGGGTGGCAGCACTACTGCTCTTGCTGAGTAGTGAGGATATAGTGAGACAGAGGCCCATTTCCTGGGAAGCTAATGAAGTTACAAAGCCCATCACTTGCACTGCCTCCCCTGGGTATTGTAAGTTGCCAGGAGCTATAGAAATTTCTAGATGAATAGAAGGAAACCAGGTTGCTTTTAATCTAACTTGTTCATGAAGTAGGAGAAAGCAATGCAAAAAAATATGCAAGATATAAGTACAGATGGGGATTGAATATCCATATTGCCTTATTTATATTTTATGGATATATGTCCAAAGTTTGTAGTCTTAGCAATCTGTACAAAGGGAGAAGCTCATCTAGACAGAGTATTGTACAACTGTGGACTTTTGTATGTGGTGGGCAAATCCTAGGGTAACTCCCAATATCCACACTTCCTATTATGGTCTTTGTGTAAACTCCTCCTCTTCTGACTTGCTTCTAATCAATAGAATATGGCAAAGGTAATAGAAAGTCACTATCATGATTACATTACAGCAGACTGGAGAGAGAGATGGACTGACTCGCCCACTAGCCTTGAAAGCATAGTCAAGTGAACACATGTAAACTGTCTATGGAGAGAGCCACATGCTAGGGACCTGCAGGGCCTAGTCTAATCTAGCCTCTAGGGCCTCAGTTCTGCAATGCCAAGGAGTTGAATTTGGCCAACAACCATATGATCTTTGAAGAGGACCCTGAACTGCGAAAAAGAATGCAGCCTGGCCTACACCTTGATTGCACTCTGGCAAGACTGAGCAGAGGATCCAGCTAAGCCATGCCCAAACTCATGACCCACAGAAACTGGGATATTAAACGTGTTGATTCAAGCCACTAAGTTTGCGGTAATTTGTTACACAGTGATAGAAAATTAATATAAAGCACCAAACCACACTGGCACCCAGAAACTATTTATGACATCATATGAGGCAATGATTCTTCTTCTGAGGGAGGCACATCCCCCAAGCCTAAGTTCTGACTCTGAAACAAAGTTCTTACCATGCAAGCCCTTAAGCTACCTCTCCTTCTCTTAGTCTGCCTTATAGTGCTTAAGAGTTTCCAGGGGACATCTTTAGGAACCTCCATGGAAGATTGTGCATAGACCACCAGAAAAACTGACTGTATAATTTGTAAGGCCCACTGCAAAATGAAAATTTATGTTCTCTTGTTCAAATTTTTTCAAGAATTTCAGGATAGCGACAGCAGAGCATTAAACCAAGAGTGGTGCCCATCTAAGAGCAGGGCCCCATGAAAATGCTCATGAAGCTGGATGTTCATACCAAATTAGACATGCCTTGAGAAAAATATTTAAACTGAGCCTCCATGTGATTGTCTGTAGAAAATGACATGCAGAAATTAGTAACACATATTGTTGTGAAATGTGTGTATGTGTAAATGCCTGGTCTAGTGTAGGTACTCTGTAAGAGATCTATGTTGCAAAACCTTGAGCTGTTTCTGAGTCAGTGTGCAAATGTTTAGGTAGCTTGCCAATGTTTTTTAAACTAATAAAGTGGGAAGAATGTGAAAGCAAGTACAAGCCTCAAAAGAATCATCTTTTGGCTCTACCTGTCACAGGTGTGTCTTTGGACAACTACAGCTCCCATATTACCTGTATTTAAAGAAACAAAGAATAAGGAAGGATGTGTGTGTTTGACTAGAATGAGACAAAAATGAACAAAGGGGGCATAGGAACGAAAGAAGGAAAGCAGGAAAGATGAAAAGCATTCTAGATCACTAAAACCATCTGGTGACATAGGGTTACAGGGGCAGAGGACACACAAAACAGAGTAAGAAAGAAGCAGGGACCAGACATGGAAGTGCTAAGTCAGAAACTAAGCTGGCAGCAGGTCTGAGAAGAGGTGTCCACAATTCACACTGCTCTTTAGAGAAATTAGATCACTTTTATTATATAAACATCATTACTTTTATATTCACAGCAAAGAAAAAGTAGGGCAATTTCTGGCACCTCAATGACAACTTAAGTTCAGGTTCAATTTAGAGAGAATTACATTTTCTGTTTAAAGGGAACATTATTTTCACAGTTTATTAACATCAGTTCTGTAAAGCTAAGTACCTGCATCTTCAACTATGATAAAATCAAGTTGTATTTCTCATCTCTGACCTGTAACAAAATTACAGAAGAATGGTAGTGAGAGTTTCAACTAAGACTGAATATAAGAGGGAATTGAGGGAAGGGGATGGATTCGAAAGAATTTTCAGGGGGTATGAACAGGACTTATTCCAAATGCAAAGTAGTGAGGGAAGTAGAACAGAAAAGCATAGTTATGTTTGACGTGCTGAGAACACATACATTTAGCAATAAGGATTAAGGCATTTAGTAACTCTAGGAAAACAATTTTCAACTGGAACCAAAATTCGATTCTGTCTAGACTGAATCTGATGTTAATGTACTTCTCATAAAGGTGTCAGAATCTATGTGATTGTTTCTTTGTTGGTTGTGAATATAAAATTAATGAGAATATAGAGAGTGCCTATGAGCTCATTTATCTCAAGATCTTAGCTGCTTTAGACAAATCTCATAATACTCACTGGATGTGTGACAATGCATGGTAGCAGTGCAGTAGTTCTTTACAAGCATGTGATATATTCTTGAAATTTGTCAGATTTTCAACAAGCTAGAGGTGGTGGGGTTGGGTATTGGTGCACGAGTGGTTGTTATGAAAGCAGGAGGGGGTGAGGTTGTACACTTAGAGATTTATCCTCTAGGAATGAATGGGTAGGTACTTGTTCCTTCAAATCATAAAGAAACTTACACTCTGTCTGTGCTTCACAAGTTTGCCTCTGCTGATGATCTTTCTATGGTTGATCCTATTCCATAGTAGGGCTCAACTCCTCCCCACACGCTGGCTGTCCTGCTCTGAAGAGGCCTTCACTCTCTGTGGATAGAAAATGGAGGAAACAGCTTTCAATCACTACATGAAGGAACCTCTTATCAGCCAGTGTTGTTCAATATGGAATGGGTTATCTTACCAAGAGTTGATTTCACTGCCCCAAGGAACACCAGGGTCATTCATTGGTGCAGATACAATGTAAATATGAAGTGGATGGTTATGGCTGGACTAGATGAGCATTTCCCATCTTTGACTTAATGAAATTTGCAAAGTATTAAAGAAAATCTAAGATAAAGAAGCAGATTGGGTGGAAGACTTTGCAAGAGAAAAAAGAACTTTTAGATTCAGTGAGAATGAATCTTGATAAATTAGGATGTAATTCTTTTAAGGTATATGCCATGGGTATTCAACCAAATACAACTGTAAAACAAAAGAAAACCTAAAGAAAGTAGACTTTCCACGAGAAAATATGCATTAACAACAAGGATTTAATTACTGTCCTTTAAAGAACTACTATAGAAAGGTCATTGCTTTATTGACTAGTCAGTGGTTTAGCTGGAATGATTATTTCCTTTTTTTGTCTTGCTACCCTTTTTCAAAGCAGCCTCATTTTAAATTAAGGTGGATATCTTCCCTATTAGCAACATTTATGTCAGACAGAGAACTGAGGCACCATGCATAGACAGCTTTTACTGACCTGGCTTCCTTTCCCCTCTCCCCAGTGTTTAGTTCCCAGTTTCATTTTTATGCATCTCATGTGGAAGATTAATTTTTTAAATACCACATTTCACTACACTGGGATTATGGTAAATAGAAATTTAGAATCCTTTGTGTACTCTGCAAAACATTAAAATGATAGAAAATATGCATTAGAGAGAACACAGAGCATAATAATGGTTCATGTAGTCTATTACCTGCTTTCTCCCAATCCTCTCCACCTTCTTCTTACCAATTATTGAGGTGAGCCGCATACCTAAAGCTCTAGGGGCTGAGTGGCAAATAGTCAGTGTAAAGTGGGGTGAAAGGAAAGGCAGAATTATTGAGGGCAGGTAAAGGCACCATTGGATTACAACGAATAAGATAAATTGCTTTACAAGAAGAAGAGAATTTGAGACTTTTCAGGCTAAGAAAAATGCCAGAGACTTTTGGTCAGCTACTGTATGTAAAGAGCTTAGAAATCATGATTCCCATGATTACAGCAAATAAAAAAGCTAAGCAAATTAGAAATAAACAATTATTGTTAGACCAATCAGAGAATTGAGGTTGCAGGGCAAATAGCAACCCCAAAATCTGTAAGGACAGAGTATCACAGTCAAGAATGGCTTAACTGGAGCCAAAGCTGCTAGAGCCATAAACTTCTAGAAACACTTTAATTGAATATCACAAAGTAAACGAAGCCAGCCTGAAGAGGCAACAGACTGTATAATTCCATTTCTATGATATTCTGGAAAATGAAAAACTATAGAGATATTTGAAAAAATCAGTGGCTTCCAGGGACTCAGAAGGGGTCAGGGAGGGATGAATAGAGAAGCACATAGAATTGCTAGGGTGATTCAACTATTTTCTATGATACTATAATTGTGGATTTATGGCATGTTTTTCAAAACCCATATGACATATTGCACAAAGAGTAAACCTTAACATACTCAAATAATTTTTAATAAGTCATTTCATAGATCACCAGATCCAAAGAAGTGATAAAGACTGTGACAAGAGAATCTAAACATATTACAAATGTATGAAACAAATTCATTGAACGTGGTTGGGGGAAATGATGCTTGTCTAAGTGATTTTGGAAAAGAACAGAATCCGTAAGACTAAATGCAAAAGGAATCGCTTGTGAACGCTGTGCTCTAGCTGATAAAGTTATTTCTCACAGGGGCAAAAGTCAACGATTCTGACCCAGTGTACATGTATGCCAGAACTGAACAATTAGGTATATGAGTGGCAGGTGGTGGCAGCCAGGTTTCCCACTGTTGGAGTGGGATTTAGAGATAAGCAAGAGGAGCAGGCTAGAATGATTCATGTGGCAATGGATTAGAGTTAGAAGTATCAGTAAGAAATTTTGTTTAGTTTAATAAAGATAAAGATGCTTATCTATGAAAATGATTAGTATACACACACATTTCTTTGCTATGTCAACAGAGCAGCCTAAATGAAATAAACATACCTAGTACTCATATCTCAGTTTATGGTATCATTCTCCAACAACCAGAATCCAGGCTCTTTGGAGAAGTGGCTGATTCTAGGACTCAGGCAAGAAACAAACAAGATGAGCCTGGATCATTCTAGTGCCAGAAAGTTAAAAAAAGCAACAACAAAAAGCCCCAGATTGATGGGGATATACCCACTGGGCAAAGAAATCAAGTGAAAGAGCTCCCTTTGGCCAACAACAGAACAATTTAAGCAACAAATAAAGTTGTATTATATTATAAACCAAAGTATAAAAATAAATGTCCATGAATCCATACAGATATAAATAAATCATAGAATATATTAATAAACGGAGGATAAGAGACATATCCCAAATAATTTACACAGAAACTCAGTCCTAAAGGATGTAGAGTGTAACTCTCCATTACTTAAGTGTGGACTGAGAACAATGACTTATTTTCAAAGGAATAGTATGAAAGAAAAGAAAGGGAAAACAAGGGACCTTTACTGAACTGGGTGAAGAAACCCAGTTCAGACAGGTGATCAAGGTCAACATCAACCACGAGAAATCATGTTAATAATACATATTCTCAATATGATATGACAAAAATAGCACTTTACCTCTTTTACTTCCTCCCCATAAAAAGCACTCTTATGTAATCATGAAAACACATCAGACAAATCCAAAATGATAGACATCTACAAAATGCCTGACCAGTACTCCTCAAAACTACCAAGGTCATCAAGAAAAGGGAGAAACTGTCACAGTTAAGAGGAGCCTAAGAAGGGATAACTACTAAATGTAATGTGGTATTCTGGATGAGATCTAGGAAAAGAAAAAAGACACTATGTAAAAACTAAGGAAATATGAGTAAAATATGAGCATCAGTTAATAATGATGAATATTGATTGCTTCATTTATTATACAAAATGTTATATAATATAAGATGTTAAAGTGGAACTACATATGGGAGTATATAGAAACCCTCTGTACTATCTTTTCAGTTGTGATATAAATCTAAAGCAGTACTAACAATAAAACCAGTCAAGATAAATTCCAGGTTGGATGACTAGTAAAGCTGAATTCTGGGTTCCATTCATATCCATGTTACCAATTTATTCCATGACATTGAGCAATCAGCTGTTCCTCTTTTTATGCAACAATAGTAGGGAAATAAAAACAGTCAATGAAAAATCTATATCCAAACTCTGCTTTAGGTAAAACACTATGTGCTTAGGATAGATTCAAGGTGATGGCATGAGGGGTGAGACAGAGAACTCCTCCCAAAACCACATGTAGTATGAAAATATAGTTAATACAACTAATCTTAAAAAAGTAACAGGAAAGAAGGCTGCACCAGACTGACATACACAGACTAAAAGTGAAGAGACGGAAAAAGATATTTCATGCAAATAATAGGGAAAAAAGCAGGAGTACAAGTACTATATCCAACAAAATAGATTTCAAAACAAAGAAAGAAACAAGAGACAAAGAAGGATATTACATAATGATTAAGAATCAGTCCAGCAAGAAGATATAATCATTATAAATATTTATGCACCCAACATAGGAACACCTAACTACTTAAAAAAATACTAACAGAGTTAAAGGGGGAAAAAGATTACAACACCTTCGTTTTAGGAGACTTCAACACACCATGCACATCAATAGACAGATCATCCAGACAGAAAATAAAAAAGGAAACTGAGGCATTGAACAATATATTAGATGAGATGGACTTAACAGATATCTACAAAGCACTCCACCCAACAGCAGCAGGATACATATTTTTCTCAAGTGTGCATGGAATGTTCTTCAGAATAGATCACATACCAGGCTAAAAAAAAAATTCTCAGTAAATTCAAAAAGATGGAAATTGTATTAAGCAGATTCTAGACCACAATGGTATGAAGCTAGAAATAAATTACACACAGAAAACAAGAAAACCTACAAACACATGCAGGCTTAACAACATCCTTCTAAATAATCAATGGTCAATGAACAAATTAAAACAAAAATCAAGCAATACAAAGAGACAAGTGAAAACAAAAATTCAACAGTCCAAAATTTGCAGGATGCTGCAAATGCAGTACTAAGAGAAAAGTATACAGCAATACAGGCCTACCTCAAGAAACAGGAACAATCCCAAATGACAGCTAAAACTCCAAATTAATGAAACTAGAAAAAGAAGAACAAATGAAACCCAAAGTCAGGAGAAGGAGGGACATAATAAAGATCAGAGCAGAAATAAATAAAATAGAAAAAAATCAATGAAACCAGGAGCTCGTTCTTTGAGAAAATAAACAAAATAGATAAACCTCTAACCAGACTTATCAAGAAAAAAAGAGAGTACACAAATAAACAATATCATAAACAAAGAAGGAATAGTCAAAAAAGATACAACAGAAATACAAATAATTACTAGAAAATACTATGAAAAAGTATATGCCAATAAATTGAACAGCCCAGAAGAAATGGTCAATTCCTAGAAAAATTCTTCCAAGACTGACCCAGGAAGAAACAGAAATCTGAACAGACCAATTATCAGCAATGAAATGAATTGGTAATCAAAAAGCTACCTAAGAACAAAACGCCTGTATCAGATGGCTTCACTGCTGAATTTTACCAAAAATTTAAAAAAGAGCTAATACACATCCTTCTTAAAGTATTCCAAAAAAAAGAAGAGGAGTGAATACTTCCTATCTCACTCTATGAGGTCAGATTCACTCTAATACCAAAACCAGATAAAGAAACCAGAAGGAAAGAAACTTATAAACTAATATCCCTGAAGAATATAGATGCAAAAATCCTCAACAAAATATTAGTCAATCAAATTCAAAAATACATCAAAAGGATCCTCCATCATGATCAAGTGGGATTTACTCCAGGG